GAATACTCTCATGTTCTGCTGTGTACATGGCAGTGGGTTTTTTTTTCTTTTCTCATTTTGTATTTAAATTTAAAATAATAAAATTCACAAAAAAAATAGTATTCAGTGGCTCTCTCTTTCATTCATGATCAAACATTAATTTTTCCAGTTGGTATTTCAGATGTTTTATACCCGTGCACCTTCATCCATTTCTAATACTTTACTCCTTTACTGGAACTTTACAGTCTAGCTATACTGGGCTTCTTGTAGTTCATCCCATACAACACTCCATTCTGTCTGTCATCCATACGTAGAATGTTTTCCCTCATCACTTAAACCATGTAGTTTCCCTGGCTTCCTTCAAAATTCAGCTCAGATCTCACCTTCTTCAAGAGGTGCCCAGTGCCTCTAGCTACTTTAGCGTTCCCTTCTACCATGTACTCTATATATTTTGTACTCTATATATTCATGTACTCTATATATTTTCTATCTACCTAGTTATTTACATGTTGTTTTCCCCATTAGAATGTGAGCTTTTTGAAGACAAGCATAGTTTTTGCCTTTGTTTATTTCTTGAAATTAACATTGTACCTGATACATTGCAAGTACTGGATAAATGCTTGTTAACTTACTGTCCTCTGTGTTCTTTAAAGTACTGTATTTTAGTCATACCCAATAATATCAAGTACCACAGTAGGTCAGATTCTTAAACAACTTCTAATTTTCATGTAAGATTATATGGAATCAAATAAGAATGTTCCTACACATTTTTCTTCAAAGGTTGTATGATTATATAAATTACATAAAATTGTATAACTTACCAAAGTATAGTTCTATTAGTCCTTTACTGTACTGTGGATTTTTAAAATATGTATAATACTAAGAAAAATATTATCTTCCTTTAGTTTTAGAATTATGATATCTGTACTATTTCCTTCATATTTAAGCAGTCTTTATGGAAATCAATTTATGAGGCTCTTGTTACTTTAAGAATGAATGTAGAATTTCTTTATAAACTGTTTTTGGAATAATGAACAACATTTCTAAGTGGATATTTACCAAAAGGTTAGTGTTTAATCATATACAGTTTAATTCAAGTATTTGTAAGTTTCAATGGCCCTTTTTTCCCCCCTTAAACACTGAACCAACTGAACCCTAAAGGTGTAGATAGAAGAGATACATAGTTTATGCTTACAGTTACCTTAAATATAAAGAACATTGTATTACTTTCTTTAACGTTAAATTTCCAAAATGCCTAATGTTTAAAATCTTTATTATGACACAGCAATTAAAAGTGTGTTGCTTCTTGTGACACTGTTTTCCAAATGCCTGGTTTTCCCAGTAATTCAAGAGAGATCAAAGATTAATCAATCCATAGTCCAAATACACCACTTTAAAATGGATTAAAAATGCTCTTAGAAAAAAAGGTAGCAAGAATGGTTGGGGGAAGAAGCACTAACAGATCTTAAAGTCTAAACAGTAATGCCCCCTAAAAAAGTGTAATATAAATTAGAAAAAAATTATAAATGAAGTCATTACATAATGGTGAAAGGGGAAAAAAAACACAAATATGTAAAAATTCCCAACTGATATTCAGAATAAAATTGGTAGATATTCATTAAAAAAGGTGACTAATATTGCAAAGTGAAACAAACAAAATATAATTGCACTGGGAAACCTCAACATTCTGTTATCAGATTGTAACAAGTAGAAGAAGATATTAATAATAAGGAAATCATAGATTTCAGCTGATTATTTAACATATTTGAACAATCAAATATCAAATGAAAACCAAATAAGAGAAAAAGGGAATGAATACATATTCTTTTTAAGTGCACATGAAATGCTTATATCATAGAGAATCTGCATAAATTCAAAGGAGCAGAATATATGGATATAGTCTGATGTGCATGCTAACTATCATGGGATTCTGAGAAGCAGTGATTAGTATCCTATAAAGTAAAATTCATCAAGGGAAGTCAGCCCATGAACAATAAAGACATAAAGGGAAATAATTTGAATAAGGTAGGAAAAAAAAGAATTTTTTTAGGAGAGGCCATTGTAAATGCACAAGGAGCTCCTTTTCAAATTTAGATATTTAATTTTTTTTTTTGTAAAAAATATAAGCAAGTCTAGGTAACAAGAAATGAATAAATATAAGAAGATGGCAGTCTCTTATAAAAGTGTCAAGAATTCCAAAAGTTAGAATAATCTTTCATGGAACTCTAAGGACATGAAAAAAATGAGCTTTTTGTTCATATTTATTTATTTTGGGGAAAAATGGGTCACAGAAGGACTGGGACCTTTGCTAGGTATGGCTGGTATGATGATATCTGACAACAATAACAGCAGAACAGTTCAATTCCTTTTTCTCTCTGCAAAAGGTAATGACCTTTTGGTGGAAATGACAGAACAAAAATGACTAACAAGAAATTCATATCCAATCTAAGGAAGGAGATAATAAGAGAGCACCAGTAGCATTATTTGGCAACTGTTTGGAATTATGGGATGAGGGAGACTGAGAAGTTTGAAAATAATAATTAGAGTGGGAATATGGGTTATTGTAAGTATGATGATATCCTTCATGGAAGTTAATGAAATCTGAAAGGAGGACTGGGATTGGAGGAAAAAAAGATGATGCTGTTTTGAACATTTTTGCATTTGAGATGTCTCCGTGGCAGCTATTTGAAATGTGCATTAAGCAGTTGATAATGTAGGCCTTTCAGTTTGGTAGATACAGTTGGAGGTCACGTGCACAGAGCTGATAATTAAATCTGTGGAAACAATGAGTTCACCAAGCAGGCTGAAGCCTTGCAGTATACCCATAGTCAGACAGCAATGTTGTGGCTGATGCTCCAGCAAGAGCAGCTGTGATGGAGCAGACACGTAGGAAAAGCAAATTAAAAGTCATACAAGAAAAAAAAACCCATAAAAGAGTAGAATGTATAGAGTAAAAACACAGTCAAATGCTAAAAAGTGGTCAAGAATAATAAGATTTGAGAAAAGGTCATCACATTTGCCAATTAGGTGATCATTGTTAACTATGGGGGGAAAACCCACTTTATACTGCCGTCCCTGCTTGCTACCATGCTGTATTGTATTTCTTATGCCCTACTCAGCTTAACTCCTTGAGAAAACTACAGTTGATGCCTCTACTTCCTTTCCTCTCATTTTATTCTAACCCTTCTGCATTTTGGCTTCTGATCTCATACTTTGACTGAAGCTGTTCTCTCCAAAGTCACCAATGATCTTTTAATTCACAAATCTAATATTTTTTTTTCTCAGTCCTCATCTTTCTTGACCCTTTTTTAGCCTTTAATATAGCCCATCATCCTCTTATCCTAAATATTGTCCCATCTTGAAGCTTTCATGACACTATTCTCTCTTGATTTTTCCTACTGCTAGTTCGATCACTCCTTATCAGTCTCCGTTGTTCATTTTCCTGTGATCCAATCTTAACATTTCCTACCCACCTTTTGAAAAACCTGAGCTAGGCATCCTATAAGCATCTCAAACTGAACATGTCTGAAACAGGACTCATTATCTTTCTTCCAATCTTCCAAACTTCCCTTTTAATGTGTAGGGTACCATTGTCTTCCCTGTCACCCAGGCTCACTCATAATTTTGTTGTTATCCTTGATAATATCTCTCACACTTACTCCATATGTCCACTTTATAGCCAAATTCTATCTTCCGTATGTTAACCATCTTTCATATATATATCCCTTCATTTCTACTGACACAACTGTCATCTTGTGCAGGCCCTCATCAGCTTATGCCTAGGCAATTGCGATAGCCTCCTGGCTAGTCCCCTACCTTAAATCTCTTCCCACAATAATCCATCCTCCATATAACTGCCAAAATGGTTTTCTTAAAATGCAGTACTGACTCTATTCAGTAAACTCCGGTAGCTCCCTTACTGCCTCCAAAATCAAATATAAAATTCTCTTTTTGGTTTTTAAAGACCTTCACAACTTTGCCACTTCCTGTCTTTTCAGTATTCCTACACTTTACTCATTTCCATATACTGTACTATCTAGTAACACCTCATTTCTAGCCATTCCTTGCAAAACAAAAACTTGGTGCCTTTTACTGTGTGTTCCCCATGCTTATAGTGTCTCTCTCATATCTACTTGTTAGCTTCCTTGACTACCTTCAAGACTCAGCTCAAATCCTATCTTTGCAGGAAGCCCTTCCCATTCTCTGTGTGCTTCTCCCCTACTGCTATTATATTTCTTGTATGAATGTAGTTATTTGCTTCTTTGCTCCCCCATTAGAATAAAGACAAAGACTATATTTTTATCACTCTTTGTATTCCCAGCACTTAGCACTGTGCCTATCACGTAGTAAGTGCTTAATATGTTTGGTGACTAAGTAGAGCAAGTAGCTTCCATTGACTAATAATGTAAGAAGCCTGGTTCCAAAAGTGATTGAAAAGTGAGAAAATGAAGAAGAAATTGAGGCAATGAAGAAAGGTAACTTTCTAGGATGTGGCTAAGAAAAGGAGGCAACAAATAGAACAGTAGTTTGAGGATATTAAACTCTAATAAGGATTTTTTAACGATGGGGAAAACTTTGTTACTTTTGTAAATATTAAAGAAAGAATCAGTAGATGAGAGATTAAAAACTTGAAAGAAATAAGAGGGCATCATCTCTATTGATGATAGCATTTTCTTTTCTACTTTGATTAGCTTGGAAAATAACGTTTTTCCCCCTTTAAACACAGCAGCATTTGAAGTATGGCATTTTTCATGTTAATATTTCCTAAATTCCTTCTAACATTTTAAAAGGGATCATTACATTGTTACATGGAACTATATATACTCTTATGGATCTTATAATTAAATGATTAATCTTCAATAACCTTTATCATTTTTCCTATCTTACCATATGTATAGATACATGTACTTATTCTTATTTTACTATGACTGTTGTTACACATACTATATCTTCTAGAACATTGTACTTTTTAGCTAATGTGATTTCCATGATGCTGAGATCTTTAATATACCATATTTTAGTCTCTGCAGAAAACCTGGAGAAGAACTTGAAGCAGATGGGAAGGCAACTTCAGCAGCTTGAGAAGGATTTGGATTCCTTTCCTTCCCCTGAGGACAAGCATGACAAGTTTCTAACAAAGATGTCCATATCCTTTTGACAGTTATATAACTTAAAAGACATCAGTCAGCTAGTATGAAGATTTATTTAGAGTTTCAAATTTATTTATATGACCTGTATGCAAATTTCAGCATTTGTATTTTGTAAGTTTTCACCTTTTCATTACCATAAAGTAATTGATCAGATATTCAAAGCCATTAGAGTGCAAGTTTAGTTTTTAAGGGCAATATACAGATTTATGTCTCATGATGTCTTTACTTTCCTATACTGGCTTGGGAAATACTCTTTCTCAGTTTTTCTACTTTAATATGTCCTTTCTTTCTGTCTTGGCCTCTAATACTATTATGAATTAAAATAACATCCAAATCATGTTTATTAAATATGAATATAAAAACTTGTTATGATTTACTGTACTGTTGGAATGTTTTAGGAATGAAAAAAAAAGCCATGGGGCCTTATATGTCCTCTTGATGATAGGAGTTAGGATCAAGATACTGTAAATCTCTTCTTATTCATGGGAAAATTCAGATTATATTTTTTCATAAATGCTTTTCAATTTTCAGTTCTGTCAGTGGTTTCCATCAAAATTCCTACTTTGACAAGCATTTTCAGTCGCCTAAGTGAGACTTTTAAAAAACCACTTGAACAAAATAAAAAAAAACCACCTTCATCTTATATGCTTACATTCTTGCTATAAATCAGAGAGTTCCTTTCAGTTAAATTTTTCTTGGTTATCATTAACTTTGTATATTAATATGGTGAGAATTAAACTAATTCTAAAACTAATATTGAGTTACTTTGTAAGGAGTGCTGTGAAAATGGACTGATATATTACCTTTTATGCTATAGTAGGGTATTATTTCTCTATAATATCAAAATTCCACATAGACTTCTGAATTCTTTATGAAAGCCTTCTTTAGAAATTGAGCTTTTATAAACACATCTTTATACCTTTTTTTAAACTGAGGCAGTTAAAAAGAAATACGTAATTTCTCTCTTTGACCCTCCACCCATAACAGCTTCCAACAAATTATAAAATCACAATGTGGTTTGTCATTTTAATTGTGAAATGAGTTTGGTTTCGTCTTCTTCACTGGCCCTTTCCCACAGTATTATAGAAATGTATTCCTAAAATACTGAAATCTAATGAATATGTTTTTTTTCAACAGCATCTTCTGTGCTCTAGGTTCATATGAGATAGGGTTCCCTTACTATGATAAAACTGTAAGCATATTGTCACAATAGTTGGTTTTTTGACTGAAGATATCAAAGTTATACATTTACAAAATTTACAAAATTACATTTACAAAAGATATTTTTGTGTTGCATACTGATGTTTTATAAGTTATGCATTCTGTATGCTGCTTACACTTTATTTGGCATTAGGGTAAGGTTATATTTGTAACAGACATGCCAGCATAATGTCATTAATGATTTTCATTTAAATTGTATTATCATGTTTAAATATTCATCTAAAACATTTAGCTATTATTTTAATCATTAACTACAGCCATCTGAAGTAGTTACATTCACCTGTTATTTCTCCCTGTGGGCAGGCAGCAATTTAGAAATGGTAGACTTGCATGTGGCTTTTGGTAATGCTTTGTGAGTACATTAATTAAAAAGCCCCAATTTCAGGAAAACAGGAGCTGTAATAAATTTCTAAACAGCAGAAGTTTGATGTAAAAGTTGGTGAATCCTACTTGTCACAATGAAGTCTGGACCTATCCATACTTGTATTAATATGACGTGGGAAGCTTTGAATGATGTTAGTGTCTTGAAAGGCATGCAGCTCATAAAAAGCAACCAGCATGCAATCAGAACAGGAAGGGTAGTGCTTTGCTGGAAACAGTTTTTCATTCTGAGTACAATTATACTTCATGGACAAGCAAGTGACTACATCCTGTCGCTAAATATCCCAACCTCGAAGCTTCTAATGAACTGATTAGCATTCTTGTATCTTTTGGAAGTCAGATATGTGAGCAGTTGGTGCACTTTCATATTGACAAAGCTTGTAATCATAAATATTCTTTGCAGACTTCAGATTGCTCTAGTTTGCTATTCATCTTAGTTCGGGCAAACTAGTCTAAAAGCAATTAAATCTATATTTACTGAAAAGCCTTGTTTACTTTTGGAATGTCAAAAAAGTGAGACTTAGAATATTAAATACATTTGTGTAGATCATACCAGAGTGGCAAATTGTATGATTTTCTTAGATCTTGTAAATGAAAGAATTAGGGGACCATAAAAAATACTTTAAATAAACATGTATTTAGCCGAAGTTCAGTTAATTAACTCTCATACTTTCTGTTACTGTTTAAGTTTAAGTATATTGTTAAGTATAGTATATATCAGATGTATGATTTGAGAAAGAATGTGTTGATAGTCAGAATTATGAAGGCAGTAGTTTACATAATTAGTGTAGTAAAATTACAACAATTTCTTAAATTTACATGTAGTTTAATTGATTTTCTTCTAGAAAACTAGTAAGTATTCCATTAGCTATAACTTGTTAATATTTTTTTGGAAAAATAGTTTGAAATTTTGACATGAAGATATTTTCCTCTTTGGAATTTATAGTATGAAATTTCTTTAGTGATTTTTTTTAAACTGTAGAATTGTGAAATGTACCTTTCTAGCGTCATGTTTGCTTTGTAGCACTTTTTTCCCACCAAAGAAACTATTCATTTAACTTCTCTCCACCCCACCCCCCAAAAAAACCAACATCTAGACTCTAGTCTGGAATTATTGCATTATATCAGCTTAGAGAGTTGCTTTCATCATATATTGGATTCTACAATGATATTTGTATAACTGTGTCATGTTGATCGTATTGAGAGATGTGATCAGAACAATTTACCATTAAATGTTTGCAGGTAAAACTCTAGTATGTAAGAAATATTTGGCTATTGTGTCCATCTTCTTTGTATGGATTGCAGTAGTTTCACAGAATTATTTTGTATTAGGACATATAGGAGAAGGGAGAAATGCACCTATATTTGCTAGTCTTAAAATTCTATGTCATTTCTTCAGTGTCCATATTTTGACATCTAAGCTGTATTTTTTTGCCTCTGATTTGAAATTTCCTTTTATTTTCTTAGCCAAAGCCCTGAAGAGTTCTGCAGTACAGTTGAAATTTTTCTTTTCCTTAATAGTAACACTACATTTTCCATCTAAAAAAAAATTAATAAATAAATAGGAGTCATCTTTGACCATTCCCATTCCTTGACTAGAACCAAAGGCCTATTTACAGTTTAATTGACGTAGAAGGAAGAACTGGGGCTATGATTTCATTGACATACACATTTCTCTCTACCAAGGCAGGTGTACACCTTTGCAACATATAGCATTACAGAGTTGACTGAAATACTGAAAGGTTAATATGTCATATAGCCAGTTGGTATCACAGGTGGTACCTGAACTCAAGCCCTTCTGGCTTTGACTTGGCTGTGAATCCAGCTTAATAGCTATGGTTGAAATACTTATTTTCTTTATGCCTCATGTTCCTCCTTATGGAAGTGAAGGTTCTAACAATAACAACAACAATAATAATAATAAATAAAACTTTCTTCAGAAAAGAAAATAAATGGATCGTATTCTGAAACGAATATCTTGTGTATAGCTATTTTTTAGCAGATAAATGTTATGAGATGCAGCGTGATATAGTGGAAAGTGGTCCAGCCTCAAAACCAGCGTGTAAGGTTTGTTTGAAATGTACTGTGTGACCCTGGGCAAATTCTGAGCAACTCTCTTAATGCTCCAACTTACAGAGAATGTACAGATCTCTACTGGTAGAGGGAAGGTACACATTTGGGAGTTCCTTTTACCAGTAAAATTGTAGGCCCGTTCTTCATCCTCATACAGATCATATACTTTTGTTCTAAGGTAGAAGAATTTACATAAAAGTACCAGTTCATTTTTTTCTAGAGATTCAGTATGAGATATACATTTCTATCCATGGCTGGTGGATTTTGTTGTTGTTTCCTGCAACTCTTTTTTTTTTATAGGGAGAGATGTTGGAGAGGTAACAGGTGGGGGGGAGGTCATTTGATGGTGATGATAAATGCCTCCTAAAAAATAGCATCAATACAAAGTTTTAAGTGTACAGCTGAAAACAAAAAAGGTATAGAAAGATACACGGAGTACTTTTGTTGCTACTTTATTTCATTCATATATCTGTGTGTGTGTATATATGCATATAGATGTATGTGTGTGTGTATACATGCATATATACTTGAAAAACAAGTTGTACATAAGGATTCAGTTACTTATACAGTTCTCATTCTTGTTCTCTATATGATAAAATGTATATGTTTGTTGATGATTAAGTTCCACCAAAAAGGTTTAAGTGTTTGACAAATAGTCTGAAATGTTGGGGGAGAAAAGCCTAACTGAATAAACACTTATTAAACATTCTAAAAAATAGCATTCTATGTACCAGAGATACAAATATGAAAAAAGATACACTTTCTTACGTGGTGAGGGGGTGTAAGTAACCCCTACTCTCAACAACTTTACAGAACAGCAACAGAATCTTAATTACATGAGAAATTAATTCATATAAGACAATAATTCAGAGAATGTTGCTAGATAATCCAAAGTAGTACTACAGAGAATGAGTAGAAGGAGTGATCATTGTGATCTCCCCCTTCATGAGAAAAGAGAGGGTTTATAAAATTTTGTAAGGCTCCAAGTAGGAGATTATGAGTTTCATTTTAGCCATGATGAACTTTAAATGATGAAGCAACATTCAGGTTGAAATATGAAAGCATTTGGAGATGTGAGATTGACAATTTGGGACTAAAGAGGTGAACTGCTCTCTAAACTGAGTAAGCATTATTCATTTTATAATTTAAAAAACCTATAAGTTCCTTTAAAAATTCTCCTAATATATTTAAAACTTGGCTTAATTTATAAAATTTTTATTTTTACACAAATTTCATGTATGTTGTTATTTTCTGAAACAAAAAGGTAGTATATCTGTCTTACAATCAGTTTACTTTTAAAAAGAAAAGAATATCAATAATGACTTGATTTCTTATTTAATAGAAATAAAATATTACAATAAACAATGCTTATCTAAAATTAGTTTCAAGTATTTTATTCTGATGGATTCTTATAAATCAGAGAAAAAGAGCTTTATTAAGTTGAAAGGAGCCAAACAGTTGATATTTTGATATATATTTTGATATACAGATTGAAAAATCTAGTAACAGATCAAAAGATTTGCACCATCACAACAATGTCATTTATGAAACTAGATGCCAGTCTAGTTTCAAAATAATGTCAACTAGAACTCAGGCATTGTTAGCCCATTTCTTGTTCTAATAGACTGCACGTATCATCAACTAGAGGAAAAGGAAAGTTTAGTTTCAGCTGCAAATTTATGAATGAAACCATGTCTTTTAGCTCCATTAATCATAAGGCCAATAGGTTAAATTGAGATTGCTGACTGCCTAAATGTAGACAACTGCGTTTTGAGGCCACAATTTCTAATTATTTTTTGAACGCTGTCTAGGTTCAGAATTTTTTAATAACTCCTCTTTATTTTAGACAGTTTTGTGTCAATGTCATGTTTTTAAATGAAGTTTGATTATATAGATAGTTTCTTGATATGCTATTATTTTGATTTATCCCAATTTGCTATATCCCAATTGACTGGACTTTTTTTTGTTTAATTTGTGTTTTTTCATGATGGAATGAGAATGTAAAAAACTATTCTCACAAGATCTTCAGTAGTTCCATTTGGGGATAATTAATTTTTTGTTACACACTCTAAACTCCTGCTTAATTTCAGTTGTCTTTAATATATGTAGGTAATCAGATATTTGTTGTTATAGCACTTTAAAAGAAGTATATCACAATATGCCATTCTATCTAATTTTTAATTGGTTAGGCAAAAATTTTTAAAAAATCAATAAGTTTAGTACAAATGTTCCATTTTGCAAATGCCTTTAAAATGAGAAACAAAAACAATAGAAAAAAAAGATCAACAAACTGAAAAATTGTTACCTTTTAAAATATTTGGCATTAGAATCTCATATCAAAATGCATTAGCAAATAACCTTGTCTCAAAATTTTCTGATATTTGTTCGCAGTGGTTCCCAATACTGTATGACTGTCATATTCACATTAAATTAGTTTTCTAAATTCTAAATCTTAGCCTACTTTCGCTGTTGTCAGACGTGTGAAAGGACATTTGCCTGTTATAAACATCAAGAAATAACCCAACCTCAAGATTTAAAGAAAATGGTCTTATACTAGATATAGTTAGTTTGTATATAGAACTTACCACTAACAAAGCTAGTAGTGTTGGGTGATTGGTTCATATCACCCCTACAGTTATTGCTATTTGCAGTCACAAAGCTACTGAGGTTGAGGATATACAAAAGTAGTCTTATTAATTAATTTAATTTCACAAGCATATTTCCTAGATGCTTAAGTTGTACGGCCTTTTGTTTAATCCTGAACTGTTCTTTTACTATAACAAAAGAGAACTTCAAATCTGTTAGCTAAAAAATATCAGAATAGATTAACTGAAACTAAATCAGGTCTGAAGATCTTCAAATGGGGACAGAGTTTTGCCTTATGAAGTAATAATTCTTTTCCACCAAGTCTATACTTTTTTCTTGTCTCACCAGGAAGCTTTCATTCCATGACTTTTTTTTCAGTCTTTGCCTCTTAAATTGTCCATGTAGATGAGCCTTGCTACCACTGTAATCATGAGTAGTTAGAATATACCTCAGTCCTGTGATCAGAGCTGTGAAGTATTTCTATTATACTTAACTTAGTATCTCTTTGATTAAACCTACTCATATATTTTATACCCATGAATTTTTAACTTTCACATGTAAAATATGTTTTTTTACAGCAGGTGAGCAATAAATAACCACTGTGTTTTTTTAGATAGCATAAAGTGGCCTTATAATTAGATCCGTGCAATGTTAATATCTTTCAAGTAAGACAGTTCTTGAGATCGATTTCTTCTGTTCTCAAATCTGTTATTTTATTAAATTAATTTTTTAATTTAAAAAAACTACTTTCCCCAAATAAGGTTTTATTTTTTTAAAAAGATCAGAACCCTAGTAACAAAGTCAAAAAACTAATGTCTCTTTGTCTGTCTATCTATCTCTACCTACACCTCAAGGCTATCACTTCTCTCTCCAGGGTGTGTATAGCATATGCTTCTTCATAGGTCTTCAGGTTTAATGGTTGGTTTCATCAGTTTTTAAATCTTTCCAGGTTTTTGTCTTTACAATGTTGTTATTGAATAAACTTTTCCATTTCTGCTTACTTCACTCTACATCAGTTCATGCAAGTTTTCCCAGGGTTTTCTGCAATCATACTTTTTGTAATTTCTTATAACATGATAGATTCTGTTGTACTCATACATGGTAATTTGTTTAATCATTTCCAAGTTGAGGGACAATCCTCTTAGTTTCCAGTTATTTACCACCATTTAAAAAAAAGTGTCTGACAGTATTTTGGTACAATTGATCTCTTTTCATATTTCTTTGAGGTATAAACCTCAATGTAGTATTGTTGGTCTGCAATTTAATAATTGTGTGCATGTTTCCAAATTAATTTCCAGAATTGCTGAACCAATTAATAGTTCTATCAACAGTGCATTAATATCCTTGTTTTCCTACAGCTTCTTCAACATTTGTTGTTCTCCTTTTTTGTCACTATTCCGGTTTAATGAGTATGTTTTTGCAGGGTTGTCTTTCTTCTATGAATGAATTGATTTGGAACATTGTTTCATATGGATAATGATAATTTTGATTTCTTCCTTAGAGGACTGCCTGTTCATATCTTTTGACTATATATTGGGGAATGCCTCTTACTGTTATAAATTTGAATATAATGTTTAAGAGAGAATATAAATTCTCTCTACATGGTGTCCTATAAGTCTCAGTGCAATTTTAAGCTTTAATTACCTTAATATGCTTAAAATTGTGCTAACTTGTTTATAATATCTTGCTTTATATCTAAGAAATGTATCCCTTTGGAACTTATCGTATATGGTATGAGATGATGGTTTATCCCTAGCTACCTAATAGATTACTTTTGTGTTTTTCCATTAATTTTTGTTGAATAATGAGTCTTTACCTCAATGGCTAAAATTTTTGGGTTTATCAAACACTATGCCAGTGTGGTTCTTTGCCTCTGTATGTTGTATATCTAATATTTTTCCATTTATCCTCTCTAATTTTTAACCAGTACCAAATCATTTTGGTGATTATTGCATTTGATGACTCACCCACTTGACTTGCTTCTACCTGAGAACATTGAGAATAATTTGGATCTTACTAGTTTTCTTGGCTTGTTTATAGAGAAGTTACTGGGGAAATGGATCACTGTCTTTGAGATTCTTCTTTTCGAGAAGAGGAAGATAGAAAAGGATCAGCCTTCATAAGCTACACAATATTCCATGTGTTTTCATTTCAATGACAAAACATATAAGACTTTGTTTCCAGTCCTACCCCTCTTCCTTTAATTCCTTCCCACTCCCCCGGTTCCATTGGCAGTCAGAACATGTGGGTTTCTAGCCTTGGTGTCCCAATAAGTTATTTTTTGTTATTCCAGTAATTTAAGCTCCTTCATCCTCATTTTCTTCATCTTTAAACTAGAGATGATAAAGTTTTCTTTCTCTCAATGTTGTTTTTACAATCAAATGAGATATAACTAAAATAGATTTGCAAAGTTAAAAGTACAGGTCATTTTTTTGTGTGAGCCTTACATATATTTATACCCAGGCAGAAGGGAAAGGAATTTGGAATTTTAAAATTCTCATCTCAAAAATGTTGAATTAGTTTAGATTTTATCAAACTAGAATTATGTTAATGATTTTAAAATTACACTGATAATCATTTTACTGTCTTTTGAAGGTGGTTAATTAATAGAGATGATATATTAATGTTGCAGGGGCAATAGGTTATTGTAAATGAGACATGTTTATTAAACCATTAGCATTCTATATCCCTACTACCTTAACTGTAGCATACAGTTTTGTGATCTCTGCAAAGGAGCAATTCCAAAAACTTTCAAGAATGCATGAAAACATGGAAAAATTGTACCAGAGCATAATGGGCTACTATGCTATTGACATGAAGAAGGTGTCTGTGGAGGAATTTTTTACTGATTTAAATAACTTCAGAACTATGTTCATGGTAAAGTAAATCTACTTTGGTTTTTTAAAGTAATGATTTCTTTCTTGTAACATCTCACTTAATGTTCCTTGATTTATTCAATTGCTTCACTCCTACTTTTGTACTCTGTCTAGCAGTAAGACTTACTTTTTTAATTTCCAGATTCTAAATCTGTGGACATTGTATATCTGTTATATCCCTGTACTTTCTTTGCCATGTTAAAACTATTATCAGAAGTTTTGATTAAAAATAAGTTGAATCCTGAAATTCTTTGTTATCTGTTCATAAAGGATTCTTCCTGACTGATTACAGAGCACTTTTATAACAAAATTTCAGCTATGAATTTATTTATACTCAAGATCAGTTTGTATTTTTAACGTGTATTTTACCAAACTAAGTATAGCTCTTATGAATTTTTATTCCCCCCCCTTTTTTCTTAATACTTTTTACAATAAGCTACCTGGGATTTACCTTGAAATGGATTTTAAATGCCTAGGATTTCCTTTGGCTTTTTAAAGAGGGAGGTCTCTCTTTGATTTTGAATACTTTCATTTAAGGATTAAGAAAGATCTTTTGAAAAGCATTAGCTGGTAAAATGCAAAACCAACATGTTAAAGTGAGAAAGTATTTTTGCCTCCTTAGGGATGCAAGTAAAAATGTTCCAGTTATTATTATTCTTAATAATTATCTTTTTTCTTTTAAGGTATTATTTGGGATAAGGAAGAAGTTTTTAGTTGTAAAATAAATGCATATTACAACTTTAGTGGCATCTATATAGAGAAAGCTTTATCTTGAGGCACATATTTTGACTCAGACTACTTGACACTTGTATGAGTTCATGTGGACTGCAATTGAAGAGACTCTTATCTGACCCTTGAAATAAAAACTTATATGTAAACTAGTAAATGAATAAAACTACTGAAAAACGAAGATAAGTTGCCCCCAGGACAACAGGATTTCTTTCTCTGCAAATTTGAAGGGAATATCTAAATTGAAGCTAGAGTTTTGTTACCACATATATCACTTGAAGAAAGTGAGCCGTTAGATGGGAATTGCAAACTTAGCATATTGTGGAGAAATTGTTGACTTTATGTAAAATGTTATTCGATGTGTTCATGTTATATTTAAATTGTTTACTAGGAGAATTATAGAAGATTACAGAAAATCTAGTATTCATGTGTGCCCTCTTTAAAATGTACTGAAAACTAGCAATTTAATATAGAATGTTAGAATCATGACTAAATGATTTGTATATTTAGCATTTACATTTGCAGTTGGAATCTTAAGGAGAGCCAACAAGAATATATGTAATATTGAGATATATATCGATACAGATATATATGCATACATATGTATAAAAACATACACACATATATACACATGTATGTCTGCATAATATAGATGTACCCAATAAATATAAAATAATACATAAAAATATAATTTCATGTAACGTTTAAGAGAAAGAGCACTAACAGTTGAAGAAATATGGAAAAGTTTCACATAGAAAGTGGTCCTTCTATTGCATCTTGAAGGAAGAGGGATTCTTTGAAGCGAAAGTGAGGAATGTATACATTGCTGCATTGGATAATGTCTAGTGAGGCACTGAGGCTGGAGATGCAGTGTTGTGTGTGATAAACAGAAAGTAGTTCTTCTCCCTTTTGGCTGGATGGAACAGTGCAAGACTGGGAGTAATATGTAGTAAGGTTGGAAAGATAAGTTGGGGCAAGGTTCTAATTGGTTTTGAAACATATGCAGAGGAGTTTACATTTGATATTAGAGGCAGTAAGAGCTGCTGGAGTTGATTGAGTAGTACAGAGACATAGTTAGATCTGGGCTTAAGGAAAATCATTTTGACAATAATATGGACAAATTGGAGACTTCAGGCCAGGAGACCAATGGAAACTATTGGAATAGTCCAGGAAAAAAGGTGATGAGGGACTGAATTAGGGTGGCCACTATAGGTATAGTGAATACAATGAATATCAGAGGCGTTTTAGGTAAAGAATTGATAAAGTTTGGCAACTGATCATCTTTGTGGTGTGAGGAAAAATGAGGAGCTGAGAACAGCACCAGGATTTCGCACCTTTGTGACTGAACCAATTGTGTTACCCTAGACAGACAGAGTGATGAAGAGGAATGAATTTGGTAGAACATATGAGTTCTGTTTTGGACATGTTTAGTTTATTAATATCAGTTGATGTCGGTTCTAAATGTGAACCTAGACCATTAGTGATATAAGTGTGAACAGCTAAGTATGTATACAGATATGTATACAGCTGTATGCGAGTTAACAAGAGATCATAGTTGACCCCTTAGGAGCTAATTAGGTTCCCAAGAGAAAATGTGGTGAGAGAAAAGACCTTAGAACAAACACTTTAGGGTATACTCATAATTAGGGGGTCAGGGAGCAGTCTGATGGAATGAATACAACAGAATGAAAAAAGTGTTATAAAAATTGAGAGAGTTGAGATACTCAGGAGTAGTCATTTACAGTGTCAAATACTGCAGTAAGATCAAGGAGAAGGAATGAGAAAAGTAAGTCCTTTGAATTTAGCAATTACTAGATTATTGATTACCTTAGAACAGTTTCAGTTGAATAATGAGATTACAAAATAGATTTGAAGAAGGATTGAGAAGTGAGAGTAGAGAGAAATGGGGGCAAGGAGATACCTTTTTATGAGTTTAGCTTTGAAAATGAGGAAGGATCTATAATGATAGCTTGAGAGAATGATCTTGTCAGGAGAGGGGCATGTTTGTAATTAGGACAGCTTGAACCAATAGATAGGGATAGATTAAAAATTGGAGGGTCCCTACCCTTTCCTTTTACTCCCTCTCTCTTCTCTCACTCTAGAGCTGGCTACCATTAGACACAAATATGTATATATAAGTAAAATCATTCTATACATAGTTCTATTAGTTCTTTCTCTGGATGCAGATAGTGTCTTCCTTTTATTATACTGGCCCTGCCTACCCATGAACAATTAATATTTCTCCGATTTAAATCTGATTTCATTTGTATAAAAAGTTTTTTTAAAAACAATTTTGTTTATATAGTTCCTGGGTTTTTGAAAAAAATTAATCTATATTTAAAAGAAATAACAAGTTGTACATAATAGATGTGTGCAGTCATCTTTTTCTTATTTATGGAAATTCTTGTTTTATTAAATTAAAATAAAATTAAATTTAAAAAAGTAAAGATTGGAGTTTAAAGGGAGTGATTTGAGGGCAGTCTTTGGGAGAAGGTACAGGAAAGGATCAAGCTTACAACTGTAGGTGTTGTTTTTGCCAAGAGACAGGCCACTTCTTCATCAGAGATTTGGACTATAGCAAAGAAGAAAGAAAGGTAAAGACCAAAAGTTTTGAGGTGTGTAGTGGAGATGTCAAACACCTGCCCCATATTCCCTTGAGTATGGCTGGAAAAGGTAATTGTGTAGGTGAACCTTGCATTGAAGGAATTCAGAAATTCTAGGGGGAATTGAAAAGGGAGACCTTTCAAGGAGTGAATAGTCTGCACCAAAGGCATGGATATAGGAAATAGAATGTCACATACTGGGAACAACAAATAGGTAATTTTTTATGGAATACCGAGTAAGTAGTATAAAATAAGTCTTCAAAAAAGTGATTAGAGTCAAATTGTGGGGATTTGGAGTCAAGCCTGTGCTTTAAGGTCTATCATTTTAGCAGTTATATGGGAGAATTTTTGGAAAATGGGGAGATTAGCCTCAGGAAGATCAATTAGAAGGCTACTGCAATAATCTAGACAAGAGATAAGGACCTAAATTAGGGAAATGACCCTGTTGGTGGAGAGAGGGGAGAGGTGTTTGGATGGTGAAATCCACAAGACTTCACACACAACTGGCAAAATCAGAGTGCTAGATACAAAGTAAGAAGTCTTGAGTTAGAATCTTAGCTCCAATAATTATACTGATCTGTTGTTTGTTTGAAAGTAGAGTGGAACTTGGAATTTGTGTTCATTTATATTGGGCCTGGGATAAGGATATTTGCAGTAGAGCAATCCAGAATAATTCTTCAGTCCAAGAGAGAAAACAAAGGAATTTTGTTTTAAGAAGATTGCTTCAAATTTTAATATTTTAATGAATATGGTAGAAAATATAGAATTTTTGCTCCAATACTCTAATTTTAGTAGAATTTGCTATGAAGTATATGCATTTTAGACCAAAGAGAGCTTAGTTTATCCTTAGCATAAGATTTTCTTCAATGCTGTTGTGGACTCTACAGAGATAAGTTAATAAGCATTTTTTAAAAGCACCTACTGTGTCAGCTAATCAGGAAATCAATAACATTAAGCACCTATTATGTGCCAGGTACTATGCTAAGTGTTAGGGATACAAAAAAAGAGGAAAAAGACAATCCCTGCCCTCAAAGAGGTCACAAGTAGTAGAAGAGACAACAGGCAAAAAAAATGTTCAAATAAGCTATGTGCAGGATAAACCAGAAGTAATTAACAGCAGGAAGGCACTAGAATTGGAGGATTAAGAGGCTTTTTGTAGAAGATTGGATTATTTTTTTTTTAATTGGGACTTAAAGGAAGTCTGGAAGCCAGAAGGTAGAGATAAGGAAGAAGAATATTCCAGGATTGTGGGACAGCCTGAAAAAAATGACTGGAGCCAAGAGATGGTATGCCTTGTTCACAGAATAGTAAGAAGGCCAGTGGATTGAAGAGTATGTGGCAAGGTATAATTGCAGGGGTTTAGGGGAGGGCAGCTGGAAGTGAAACTAGGTTATGAAGTGTTTTAAATGTCAGAGGATTTTGTATTTGATCCAGGGGACCAAAGGAAACTGCTGGAGTTTATTCAATAGCAGAGTGACATGGTCAGGCTTGTTCATTAGGAACATCATTTTGGCAACTAAATCAAGGATAGATTGGAGTGGGGAGAGACTTGTAGCAAGCAGACCCACCCACAGGCTGTTGCAGTAATCTAGACGTGAGCTGATGATGGTCTATGCCACAGTAGTGGCAGTTTCTTTCAGAGGAGGAAAAGGTTCATATTGGAGGGAAG